TATAATCGAATCTTTTACGAATCGATATTTACTTACTTAAATTTTAAATGTATTACAGACTTGTTATTATGTCTGTACACAAATTATATTCAAATATCTACATACACATACAGTTTTTTTTTGTAAGATAAATTTGGAGAATTATAACCGTAAACTTTAGCCCAGTCACTATATTTGTAATTTCTAAATTATAAGAAATATTTCATCCTGATTTTCAAATATATATCTGATGTCTCCAAACAAAATTTCAAATTTACGATTTATTACGTATCTCAGCCTAAACGAGTAATATACATTCAGTGCAGCTGCCATGTTACTTTACTTCCAATAAAATTATCGCATCGACCACGTAATTTATCGATTGTCAAAAATAAGTGACTATGAGGAAGTGTCTAATGGTTTCACGTTCACACAGAATTTTAATAAGAAAACTGTGAAATTGCTAAAAAAAAATATCACTGATGATAACATATGCCTACTTAATTTATATTTGAAACGAAAGTAAGTTATAAATAAATGCTGTGACGTTGAATTTACTGACAAGGTAAACTTGAATCAGAATTCATATATGTTTAATGACGTCACTCCGTTAATTTCCTCGAAAGAAAATTTTCTTCTGAAAATAAAAAAAACATACAAAAAAAAATAAAACATGGGCAGTCTTTGTATGTAAAGACCGGAACTAAAATTGTATCGAAGAAACCAGATTTATAATTCATATATTCAAGACTTTATTACTTTCTCCCAGAGAGAGAAAAATAAGTATTTTCAACAGAGTTCGGAAATAACTCTCCAACGCTTTCACGCGGTGAAAAGTCCAGAGTAATTTCGCTAGTCGCAAACCAAAAGCACGGAACTGAGCCCGGGTAGTAAACACGCCCATCTATCGTTACTGCGTCCACGTTATAACGAAACCGTTGGCTGGTGTCAGAGTTGTCAGCTGAAAATTTACAGCCATTATTTATACGCTCTCGCGAAGCTGTTCAGAAGCAGAAGACTTTTCACGGTGCCTTAAAGACAGCTTTCATAAGCTCCCCCCCCCCTCCTCTTTTACAAACATCACAGCGATGGTATACTTTTTCTCGATATTTCATTAAAAAACATCGACATTTGCTATGTCTCGAGTTTATCTTATGCATTTATCGACTTAATAACTTTACAGGTATAGAAATAATTTTCTTCTTTTAATCGTCTCCAAGATCTTTGTATTTTACGTACATAATCCCTGTCTTACTTCGTACTTAAATTTATCATGTTTGTAAACATTTCTTATATTTATCCAACTACTGGTCTTGATGATCTAATTTCTGTCACAATTTTAGTATTTTCCTTGTCACGTAAGTGTCACAGTTACGTATTTTACCCCAGGTTTGGTAAATAATTTGTAAAACTTCAAATATATAAACTTGGATATTATTAAACCGAATAACGAGTTATAATTTTCTAAATAAATTATTAACATAGACACTAAATTCTTATCTTATGCAGCAGTGACTAATTCTTTCTACACGTTAAAAAATGTTACATTTTTTATGTATTTAGATTAGTCTGCCTATATTTTATGCATAATTAGTTATTCCGATTGAAAATGTGACCTGTCAGTCGGTCCACTATTCCAGTTTCAGGTTTTTGCTTTTAAATGTGAGAATATATCTCAAGATTTAACGTAATTATACGCAAAATATTATTTACGCGTTACTATACAATAAGTATAATTAAGATTACAAGAATTTTATGTACAAACGAAACATGGCACATAGAGACGAGAAAGCAATGATTTGGACCTTCAGTTGAAATATGTGGACATGACTTCATTTCCGGAACACGTAACTTGTGGAACTGCGTTCTAGTTAACTCTGGTACGAGGTGCGATCGGAAAGTTTCAAGACTGTGTCAATAGAGGGCGAACCGGATGTAGTACGAGCTTCTGCCGCTAGGGGGTGCGGCCTACATTCATAGTGAATCAGTGTGCCAGCCGGCATCATCGAATTAGTATTTGTGCCATCTCTCCGTATGTTCCGATAGAAATAAAAGTATAATTTTTCGACGTAGGTAAATGTTTAAGTGACTTCTAGTTAACAAGAGATGATTCAGATGGTGTGACGTCATCACCAGTCAATTCGCAGAAGAAAGCGAGTTGGAATGCAGGATAAAAATAGTTCGAACGCTTAGACGGAATTTGAAGAAAAGTCCATCTGTGTCTTTGAGGTTACATCACACAACCTTCTTATATAGGAAGGAAGGTTTCTTATTCGACCCTGCGTTCGTCAGGACGTAACCTGATGCGAATTCCCTGTCCATTTGTGGTCTCCGAGGATCATAAAAAATGCAGACAGAAAATGAAGACGAAGGAGATTTGTGTTTATTAAAATCAAATAAGAGTTTATATTCGCAAAAAAAAAAAAAAATGTTATGAGCGAGAGACGTTGTATTGGTTTTGTATAAATATACAGTCACACAGATTAGTAGATTATTTTTAAATATACATCGACGTAAATCGATGCGTCCAGCCGCAAAACAAATAATTCTTTTTACAAAATAAATAGTTACATTAATATATAAACAATAATTTCATATGTTCATATGATAATAGTGACACAGAATCGGGAGGAATTTTAAATTAGGCCGTCTGGATTCTTCATGAAAGTTATACTTCGCTGCATAAACGCGAAATAAAAATCACGATTCACACTTTCTTCTCGAACATTCAGATTTAATTTTGTTTCATTTTAGACCGAAGGCCACTCCAGGTCGCCGACGTAACTGTTGACGTCAGTACAACTAGGATCGTTATTTCGAATCCCACTCAAGGCATCGGTGTGTGCCCTCGTCTTTACGTGTTGTGCTGTCCTGACCTAACCTAACCTAACCTAACCTAACCTGACCCAACCTAACCTAACCTAACCTAACCCAACCTAACCTAACCCGACCTAACCTAACCCGGTTTAGGTAAATCAAGGACTGTAAATCCACTTGGAAAAAGAAATAAGTAAACTTTTAGTACAGTGGTACGCATTTAGAATACGTGGAGCTAAGGCGAGTGAGGCATTGAGGAACTACGTAATTTATATCGGTAATTTACATTTTTAAATAATAAAATTAAGCATAAAACAATGGCCTACCTGAAGATTCCGCTCTAAAACAGATAACCCGGAAGATATGGAGGGATAACATTAAGATTGATTTATAGAAATATGCTCTGATGGGGAAAAACTGTTCAGGACTGTATCTAGTGACGAACTTTAGAACACACGGCGTTTAAAATCTAGGTTCTAATGCAAAATATCGTCAGATATAGAAGGAATATATCATATTAGCGAATAATTTATGAAAATGAGGACTAACTATAAAATACTTTGACACGATGACAACAGCTGATTAATGTTCGTAATATGAAATCAATATGGCGATAGGTGACAGTGTTTGAGGGAATAGGTTGATGGGGAGAATTATTTGAAAACCGAAACACAGAAAAGATAAATTATGACAACGAAGATGAAACAGACAGCATGTGGGATCTAGGCACAAATGGGAGGATAACATTAATACGAATGTTAAAGGATAAGGTTCAGCTGATTCGAGTGGCGGAATATTCACATCGCGGCAATGGACTCCGTAGAGTTAGGCACAACGCTTCTTTATCAATACGAAATATTAAGACACACGACGTGTAAACCTTCGGAACCTTACTAGTCCTTGAAATCGAGTAAGTGTTCAACTTTTCACATGAAGTTTCGTTACAAGACGTAACAATGACAGTTACTGACGTAAAGTTCATTTCTGAAGCCCCGACTGTTAAGAGTTTCGTGTAGCCTATCCGCACAGGGGATGTATCTTCCAACCCCTATACTTCGCGAACTGACATTCCCTTAGGAGATTAATTCCGATGGCAATTTCTGAAGTTGTTATCGATTTCCTTGTAAAAGTTTATAGCGTGTTTCTTGCACGTTAAATAGGAGTACATTTTCAGACGCGAAACGTAAAAGCTGAGAAAGTTAATCTGGTTTGTCAGTCTGTCCTCCAGGCGGGGTCTCATATATTAAATGCCTTAATTAAGTACAACAGGGCAGAGGATCTGCTCAGAGAATGACACTTAGAACATAGAGAATCCTGTACTACTAATATTTAGGGGAAGAAAATGTGTTGCAGATAAAATTTGAGTTACATTCTTAATTTATGTGACGACATCTTATCAAATGCTTTAGTTACATAACGACGCTCGTAAGGAGGAGTTTTAAACCTGTGGACAGCTGTTATTTGCGTGACCTACTATGACTAAAGCGATTAACGTTTGCATTAAAATTTTAATTTTCACTAAATGATTAATAAAATTAACGAATCAGGAAATATGTTAAAACCAATTATGACGTCATATGTTGAACTACGATGACTGAGTACAGAGGGCAGACAGTAGCGTGGGTTTATGACGTAGGTCTAGAGCGCAATGCGAGAAATATCAAATCGTCACTGAGACAGATACTGACATTACGAGCCTTCGCGATTAGTAATTTAATTAAATTCAATCCATTTATTAAAATGCCTGACAACAGCTGAAAAGCCAATTACAGGCAAGCACTAAAATAAAAAAAAGAAACAATCAAATATAATTTAAAACGTAAACGAGATTAAAGAAAATATAAAAATATTTTAATTTAAGGGGGCTCCCTGATATCAATAAGTAGAATACAAATTTTGTTAAATATTTCAGCTCTGTTACAGATCGCAATGACAGGATAAACACGTCTCGCTGAGATACTGACGGACAGTACATTAGAGTGGTTTTTGATAGACGTAATGATGAAAGCAGAATAATAAATCCCAAAACAGACGAGCAGCTAATTTTTTTTTCCCCTTTAAAAGCTTTAATAAATAAAAATGACATCAAAATTCCCCGTCCTTAAATGAATACTTTAAATATTTATTCTAACTGAAATAATAAAATTGGAGCCTGCAGGTAAATTCTGATTACAAGCAAAGGGAGATCAGTGGGTCTTCGTTTATTAAGGATCGAGATACTTACAGTCGACGCTGACTTTAATTCTCTTGCTGACTGTCGGGGGGACGCTGTTGGACGCGATGCATAGGTAAGCGCCCATATCTAGTCGGCTGATGCGAGTCAACTCCAGAACTTCGCCGTCCCATTCAGCCACTGTGAACAGGCGACAGACGGCGAGCGTCAACTGGCGAACGTTTTTGCAAACACCAAATGATAAGTTCTCACACTTTGCAGAAACATTCAAAATTGCATTAAACAGGTACGAGGAGCGATCGGAAAGTTTCTAGACTGCGCGTATAAAAACCCGTACACTTATCTCAGGTATTAAATTCATCCATCACCCTCGAAGTAGTTCCCCTGGGAGTGAACACAACGATCCCAGCGCCGCTGCCAAGCCTGGAAGCATCCCTGGAAATCTTTCTTTGTCAGCCTGTCAAGCACCATCTGCGATTCTGTCTGAATCTCTTCTATCGTCTCAAATCTCCTTCCCTTTAGCTGAATTTTCATCTTTGGGAAGAGGAAGAAGTCACACGGAGCTAAGGAGGTTGCGGGATGACGGCCATGGTGTTTGAGGCCAAAAACTGCCGAACTTTGAGGGCGGTGTGCGCTGGCGCGTTGTCTTGATGCGTCGCATGTGGAGTTCTTCCTTTAGAATCAGCTGACAGGTCCCAACAATGTCGCACAAGTCGTTGATGGTACGACGTCGATCTTCGTGAATGGCCTGCCGAATCTTGGTAACATTTTCGGGCGTTGTGCTCGAAGATGGTCGTCCAGAATGCTCGTCATCATCGACAGGGGTTCGGCCATTTTTAAAACGTGAATGCCACACAAAAGTTTGCGGACTCCCCAAATGCTTGCTTTAGCATTTCATAGGTTTCCGTAGCCGTTTTGGCGAGTCTTTGGCAAAATTTGATGCACACGCCATTCCGAAATCGCAGGAGGTCGGTGTAATGCACTACCAAAACGCCCGTAACTAAGAAACAAATGCTAAGTCGATGATGCCGGCTGGCACACTGATTCACTATAAATGTAGGCCGCACCCCCTAGCGGCAGAAGCTCGTACTACATCCGATTCGCCCTCTATTGACACAGTCTTGAAACTTTCCGATCGCACCTCGTATATACAGTCTCCGTTTTAATTTATCGACACACTTTCCATAGGTCCACATATCTCATGTTCCTTTAATTACATCACATCGTCCATGTAAAATGTACTAAAACATTCTTAATCTGTGTAAAAATTCAGGTTTTCAAGGCCGTGATTATGAAGACTGCTGTCTTCTGGGTTGTTGCCTCGTAGTCTGGTTTCAAAACCCTGAAAGACCCAGATACCCGACGTCATGACTGACGTTTTTCGTGGTTTCTCTTTACACTCATGACAAATGTCGGGATAGTAATGAAAATAATTTCAAGACCGCTTCCTTCCACATCCTTCACAATTCATTATTCACTAAATACCCCTCCCCCAATCCGACGACTTTTCTGAAGTATCGAAAGCTTCATTAAATAAACTACAAACAGATCAAGGCTCTTCTGAAACGTCTGTAAAGTACTACGGTGCACAATCCCCCCCAAAATTATTTATCTAATAAGATGGTAAAGTTTCGTCATATTGTGATATAATAAATATATATTAAATCTTGTCGTGTCTAATCACAATAAATTCTTATTAAATATTAAAATATTACAATAATTAACATTTAAAATATTTAAAATATTAAATGATAAAGAACATCATTTAATATTTTAAATATTTTAAATGTTAATTATTGTGATATTTTAATATTTAATAAGAATTTATTGTGATTAGACAGGACAAGATTTAATATATGCTTATCTAATGTTTTTTGTTAGGATGATAGATCAAGGCACCCCCCCCCCACCA